CTCCTCCTCCCGCTCGCTCTCTCTCTTTCTCCTCCTCCCGCTCGCTCGCCCTCCTCCGCTTGTGCTCGCTCGCCCCCTGTCCCCACCTCTCTCCCCCTCGCCCCCTCTCCCCCTCCCCCCTCCCCCTTCTCTCCCTTTCCCTCCCCGCTGTCCCCCCACCCCTCCTGTCTCCTCTGCACACCCCGCAAACCTAGTCCAGTACAGTATCACAGCACTTTCATCTCATTCTAAATTTGTGGGATATTTGTATGTTTAACAGAAATGCTGAGTTCACTTACAAAAGTGTCTCAACATCAAAGTAGTAAATCTTTCAAACAAATCACCATTTAAGTGAAATGTGACCAGGTGCTATATAAATGAAGATTGTTTTTGTTGTTTGTCATTTTCTCCCTATTATTCAAAATTAAGAAGGGAGGGTGCAATGTTGGTTTCTTATAGCAAAGTGGCTTATCTAACCTAAGACCATTTTGAAGATTGAAATTTGCCTTGTACACCTCCTTTCACATCAGAGGAAGGAAATGGGGTACTCACATGGGATCTTTAAATTACTTTCTGCAGATTTACAGTCATTTTCCTTCTCATTGAAAATAGTAAAGATGATTTTCCACAGGGTAACAGGAAACCCGTGAGGGGGGAAGAGGAGTAAAAAAAGCTCAGGTGTTTTCACTGCAATAAACTAGGCCGCATGAAATCGCAGTGTTGATGCTTTCGAAAAAGTACTGGGAAGATAGCTGTGGGAAAACAAGATAATCCAGTGAGTTTTGTTGAAGTTATAAAGAAAAGCATGGTGGAAGCTAAAAAGTTGCTGAAGAATGTATAGCCTGATCAGGGATTGGGTGAAAAGTAAGCTTCAATTTCTTTAAAGAACTTACTTGCGTAGGTAAGGTTTACTTGTATACTGCCAGGAGGAGCAGGTACAGAAATTAAGATTTGTTATGGACCAGACCAAACTGCCTCAAAATTTATGAAGATAGTCTAAACCCTGACATTTCCTTATTTTAAAGGTAAATGTTAAGGTGTTGCATTCCCAATGCAATTCAATTGGTCAAACTATTCAACTTTAAACAAAACACACTTTATTTTTACACTACAGCTAACATACAGAAAAAATAAAAGAATTGGCTTAACTGTAACTCTGTTGAAATGCTTAACAAAATAATAGATATATTAACTACTGCCAATGTTCTAATATAGTAACAGCTCAAAAACACACCTTTGGCAAAGGCAAATTTAGTAAGATAGACTGTCTTACATGCAATTCTAGCAACAGGAAGAGAACCCCAGCTTTTGTCTGTAACAGAGTGAGGAATAAGAGCTTCCACGTCCAGCTTCAAGTCCCCAGTAACTGCAGTAAGCTAAAACTAAAAGTTTTCCTTCTGTGAAAGCGTGATCCCAGCCAATTGGGCTGCTTCTGTTGTTCTGACTTGGGGAAAAAAAAAGTCCCAGGGGTGCTCAAGCTGTTTAGTTTATGGCCTTTGAGCAGACTGGTCAGAACCTCGGTCTCAGCCTTTCTTCATTTAAAAAAAAGGACAAAATACACCTTTTAAAGCTATAGAATTATGACATTGGATGCTCTCCACTTGACATAGCTAAAGGATGAATGCTGAGTAACAGTTCCAGAAACCACTAGTCATTGATGCCAGTGAGGTCTTATATGAAATAGTTGTTATATAATTTTTGTCTTCGTCGAACCTTGTGTTTTCTGAAACTTAGTGAATGATTCATTAGATGCAACAAGACACACGTTTCTGGAAGTTGAGTGTTGTTAAAACTGTACAGCAGTACTGAGGGAATAAGGTCTAATTACAGTTTGAATAATACTCGGGTTAGAGCGTATTAAAGAAGATAATACTGGAGAGCTGTGATAGAGTACAGACTTGAATGCATTTTTGAATTTTCTCTTGCCCATTGCACATATATCATCACAGCAGAGATCTCAATGAGTGTATTTGTGCATAGATGCATTGTAAATCAACAGTAATTACAGGAGAATGTACCAGTATGTTAAAAATATTTACATAAAGAATAATTCCAGGTATGCGAGCTGAAAGCAACTAAATTGCCTTCAAGATCTGAGCGTCTTTGACCAAACTGATTACTATTTCAGTCAAAAGGACACACATGTAGTGAGAGATTTCAACATAGCTGCCTTTGTATCTTCGTGCAAATGATAAGTCTTCCTATTTTTAAATAGGATTTTTGATGCAAAATCAATTCTGCAAAAGAAAATGTTGACTGTCAAGCATTAGGTTTATGTAAAGTATCACAGTTATTTATTGGAATGTCATTTGTTGTTTTTAAGCTTTCAGTTTACACAGAACCTCCCACAAACTCTAAGTACATAAGTGAACAGCCTGGTTGGCTGCTCCAGCGGATTATTGTTGTGAGACAAGCATTTGAACCATTTGCAGCTCAATGCAAGGTACTATATTTTCATCCTTTTGTGTTTGCTTGTGCTATGTATTATAGAATTATTTGAACCAAAATATTTGTGCAAGTGTTTGTTAGAGCAAGATTTAAAATGATGTATTTCTTTTGAAATTTCAAAAGTCTGACAGATTCTCTTTTCTGTCTTTTGATTTTTTTTTTCCATCTAACATCCGTGATTATTTTGTTAGAAAAAGCCTGTAGAAATTGTTTCAGTAAAATAAATTTCAAAACCTCTGGTGTACACAGTTTATTATTGAGCTTCTGCAGATCTCCTCACTGTAGCAGCATCAGTATTGGACTGAGCCAAGCAGATGACTTTGAGAATAGGCAAGGGGTGGAAATCACCATTCATGTGCCTAACGAATAAGAAAGATTAAACTTCCACTAAAAAAGAACATTCAACTGTTCTGGGTGCTGCAACAAGTATGACCCTACTTCATATGTCCTGGCTACAATTTATTGATGTATTACAGAGCTTCATAAGGATACAGTATAACCATTAAATATTATTCTATTTTCCAAAATAGAAGCATCTAGGCACATATGAATGAGTACAGCTTTAACTCTTTTTGAAGACAGCAGCATTGGTGGCACTTAGAAGTATCTGATCTGATAAATGTATTGTTTTTACCTAATTTTGGGTTGGTTCTAATGCATTTTCTTACAATCACAGTCAGTCAGGTTGTAAAAACTGATCGGATTTCCAGTTCCTGCCTGTAAAGCCTATTTTATTCAGTATGCACATTTATTGATCAGTGGCTAGAGAGATGAATAAGCAAAAACATGAACAATCACTGTGATTGGCTCAGTTTGTGTTTGATTAACGGTTCTTTTTATATTTGTAAGTTATGGGAAAATTGAATACTGGATTGTGTGGTAATTATTTTCCGAGATTACGAATTATTAGAAATAATTGAAAATGAACCGTTTGGTTGAAATTCATAAGATTTGTTTGAAATTTTCCAGGCATAGTTTGCATATCCAGAAGTACAAAATTTCTATTTGAAATATTTTGACAAGTGCTTAGATTGTTCTGAGATTTGTGATCTTTTGTGTGACGAAGGAGTCAGATGGTTGACTTTGCAGTCCATATAAACTGCTGTTAGATGAGCTAAATATTCATTAACTTTAATCCCTGAAGAAAGTGTAAAATGTACTCCCCTACCATTATCAAAGACTTGAAATGAGACTTATGATAGTATAGGAGAATAGTGTCGAGTAAGTAGATGTGCTGTTCCTACACATGGCCTATCACTCAAAGCTTACCATGACCCAAATTGTTGGATATTCGTGTTTAGTAGTCATCCTCGAAAGAAGTCTGAAATACAAAACTCAAGCTACTTTAGGGCATGAAGGATGTTAAACACTTTGAATGTAGAATAATGCCACTCTAGAGACACTCAGTTTGTTACCAGTGCATTCAAGAAATCAGACAAAATATAAATTGTCAATCAGGTCTGCTAATTAGGAAAATACTTTTAATTTTAAGTGTTAAAAGAGGTGATGTCAATTCTGAGTATCACAGTCATGAATTCTCCCAGCCACAAGATAAGTGGGAATTTCGTCCCAATCTGAATTCAGTATACCCAAATGTAAAGTTGGGTGTTAGTAGGTCCTGCTACAAAAGTTTCACAATTTTAACAGTTCAGCTATAATAAGAAAGTTTAAAAGCTAAGAACTTTAGAGCATGAATATCAAGTAGAACTTTTCTATCTAAAATAAGTGTTTTGATAAATTATTAAAGGAGGCTGTTAAAATGGACACTACAGATGAGTTCATAAGGGAGTTTAGGGACATGATGTGAAGATCAATAGATTGGGTTGATGCCTGTATAATTATCACGTTGGACCTAATAATGTTTACCTGTTCTTAAAACCTATTGAATTTATTGCTTACAATAATTTGTCAGTAAACTATCATTTCTTATTCTTCCATGTGTCGTGAGACTGTTCAATATGTACGCCTGACACATTTAAAGGCACATGCATTTGTGCTGGTGATTGTTCTATTTTCAAATGCAGTCTAATAATTCAAAGTTGCTTAATCCATATATGATTTTGTGTACTCAGTTTTCTTGTTGGTACTATATGAATTTGAATGGCAAGCTTTGTCCTTGTAAATTATCCAATGTGCTATTCATGTTTTTAAGAGCATGTTGTTGCTGCTGAGCAAAGGTCTGTTATTCATGTTTTGGAATATTGGTCACTTAATGAAATTAAAGGTTTTCTGCTAGTCTTTCACTGTTTGTTCCTGTATGGTTTTTCTCATTTATATGGGTTTAAGCATACTTCTGCTCCTTGTTTACATGCTGGAACTGTTGGTGTAGAAAATGGTAGCAATTGTTTAATATTCCTCAGAGGCCTGGCTGTCACTGCCACAAGATAAATTAAGCCTCCGTGTCTTGTAAAAGTATGTTTCACTATCTCTTCACAAATTGCTTCAACCATGCCCAGCACCTGCATCATTGATGTGTCACAACATTTTGTATCTGACACCCTAAAGTTGGATTTTGTTAGCAACAATTAACATTCTAATGACTGTTTATACCAGTGAAGATTAATCAAGAAACTATTCTCCATTTCGTTTCTTTTCTTTTTGTGGCCTTCCCTTGTAGTTATTTCTCCTTGATTCATTCTCTCTCTGATGTTTTGCATTTAAAAGTTCTAGCAGCTCCTAGTGATTTTTTTTGTGACTTCCCATTTCTGTTAAATGGTTAATGACACATGCCTTGTATGTCATTGTCAACATCTATTGACCTGGTGTGATCTATATCAGTCACCATAGCGTAAAGGAATGACAGAAACTGAAATATTTTCGTAACCTATTTACTGCACATTTTCATCCTTGAAATGGATTACTATATTTCAGATGGCTTAGCAAGCTTTATTTTTTTTTTCATGTTTTGTTTATTTCATCAAAAATGCCCTATTATTGGACTGTTTTCTACCCTTTCCAACGAACCAGCCACCTGTTAGCTGCTAGCACCTACTTTTGAGGAATGCAAAGGGTAAATTTAAGAGCCTCAGAGGAGCTGATTATTTAAAATCGCCATAGATGGATCAGTAATATGTTGAAGTACAAAATGTATGCAAACCTCAACAGCAGACAGGATCATTTCATCTGTACTAGTCATCATTACAATTTTTTTCTAATCAACCTTTCAGAGATGTTATTAGACACTTGTGGAGCAGGTGAGAATTGAACTTGGGCCTCCTGGTCTAGGGGTAGGGACACCAGCACTGTGCCACAAAAAGATATTTGTATGCACCCAAGAAGCAGACTAATGAACTTCATAACTTTGAAACACCGATTTGTTTTAACTGTCACATCAGCTTGGTAAAATTATATTCCAGCTGTTAGTTAAGCCTAGTTTAGAAAATGGAGGATGTTGATGACAGAAACATGGGCTTATGGCCCTGTGATGCACTGTATGACCTAGCTTGCATGAACGCATTTAAAATATCATTATCAGTTTTAGGAAACTGTTCAAATCAACAAAAATAATTTCCATTTAATAGTTCCTTCATTTACAAATTATTCCAAGGTGCTTTGTGGGCACCATTAATTAACATTTGATGTCAAGCCACAGGAGGAGACATCAAGACAGGTAACCAGAAGCATGTCAAGGAATTAGGCTTGAAAGAATGACTTAAAGAAGAGTGAAAAGTAGGGATTCTGAGTGATTGAAGGATGCAAATCCCGGGCTTAGGATCTAAGCAGCTGAAAATACAACCAAACAATAGTGGGGCAAAAAAATCAAATTTAGGCAGATATGGTCATTCAGGCGTAGAAAATCAGTATGAGAGACAAGTATTAATGTGCGAACTAATAAACTATGGCAGGAAGGAATGGTGAATACAAGTCAGGCAGTGAATGACCCGAGGAGGTAAAGGTTGCAGAAATAACAAAAATACAAAAGTGAGCCTCTATCTGAATCATAGAATCCTTACAGTGTGTAAACAGGTCAATCAGCCCAACAAGTCCACACCGCCCCTCTGAAGAGCATCCCACCCAGATCCACCCCTGCCCTGTAACTCTGCATTTCCCATGACTAATCCACCTAATTTACACACCCCTGGAGACTACGGACAATTTAGCATGGCCAATCCACCTAACCTGCACATCTTTGGACAGTGAGAGGAAACCAGAGCATCTGGGCGGAAACCCATGTAGACACGGAGAATGTGTCAAGCTCCACGTAGACAGTCACCCGAGGATGGAATTGAACCCAGGTCTCTGGTGCTGTGAGGCTGCAGTGCTAACCACTGAGCCACTGTGCCGCCCCAAAGTTGCCTTTGAAGCAAAGCGGATAAATGACCGAGCAAATAAAATTAAATATGTATGATCTATTAGCCATTATAAAGCCATGGCTGCAGGATGACTTAGTTAGGGCTCTGTATGTTGATTTGGACAGCGCATTTAGAAATACCAGGAACCTAGGGAAGGTGGAGTGCTGGCTCTGTTAGTTAATAATGGTACTAGCGCAATGGAGAGAGATGGCCTAAATTCAGGAAACCAGGATGAGAAAGAAATCATATTATATGGTTAGGAAGCCAATTGGATAGCATTGTACAAGAAAATGAAATTATAGAATCTTAAAAAAAAAAAGTCTTCATGGAACTATCAGTCTATAACTATGATTAATTGAGGATTTCACTAGCTAGGCCAGCACTTATTTCCCTAATTGCTCTGGCGAAGGTGATGCTGAGCTGCCTTCTTGAACCATTGCAGTTCATATGGTGTAGGTGCACCCACATCGCAGATAGGAACGGAGTTTCAGGATTTTGACCCAGTGACAGTGAAGGAACAGCAATATAGTATCCCGTCAGGATGGTGTGTAACTTGGAGGTAAACTTGCAGGTAGTGCTGTTCCCGTGCATCTGTTTCCCTTGGCGTTCTGGAAGGAGGTGGTTGTTGATTTGGAAGATGCTATTGAAAAAGCCTTGGTGACTTACTGCAATGGGATGATACACACTGCTGCCACTGTGCGTCAGTAGTGGACAGAGAGATGAACTGTGCTCATCTATACAAAATGGAGAGTATTCCATCCCACGTCTTCCTTGCATATTGTAAGTAATGGACAAGCTTTTGTTCTGTGTATTGGCTTTGTTTCTGTTACTGCAGTCTGCCCACTTGTTCTCAGTACTGTCTTGCTTGAAGCTGATGTAGGAGTGCTACCGAGATCCTTGCATATCCTGGCACTTGTATTGAATTGGCTGCTGAATTAAAGCAAAACCTTTTGTTAACAGATGGCTTGATCCCACTTGTACGCATACAGGATAGATGTTAGTTTAGCAATGACCACACAAATCCAGTTTTAGAGTCAGAACTTATAAAGAATTCTTGGTGTTATTAAGAGAAGGAAGGATCCTGACCCGAAACGTCAGCTTTCCTGTTCCTCTGATGCTGCCTGGCTTGCTGTGTTCCTCCAGCTCCACACTGTGTTATCTAGAATCTTAACATGTTTGTTTTGAATTCTGCTATTTTAGCTGCGAGATTAAGAAACTTAAAATTCCACTAGCTTGGAAGTAACAGAATGTTGTATGGGCACAGTAACTGCTCCTCCCTTGATGTTGGTGACAATTGTACCTGACATACAGTTAATAAGAAAAAGTTTAGATTTTTACAGATTTATTACAAGCATGCACGGTTTAATAAAGGCAGCAGCCAGAAATTCAAGGCTGGTGACAGTAGACAGCAAGAATTTTAAATGAGAAAACATTTAGAACATAGCATGATATTTGAAGGAATGACCGAGGGGACGAGTTATAATGAATGCTGCACACCGCTATGATTTTAGCTGGGTCAGATAGGACAGTGTAGCCAAGAGGGAGGCTTTGGTGAAGGTCATGGTGCCCCCAGCTCTGAATCAACTTCCAGTCAAATTCAAAAATTACTTGGTCTGGGAATGTTGATTAAGAAAAGGAATCCCCGTTTACTTTCTTTTGAATAGCTCCCCGGGATCCTTCAAGTCCATTTTACAGGTTGGGATGTTGCTTTTTTGAATCTCATTTAATATATTCTGGAGTGGAGTCTCAGCCAAAATCTTCTGACTGAAGTGAGATTAATATTAGTGGAGCTCACACTTTCTTACTGGAATTTGAGTCTCATATACAGCCCTCAAACAACTTCTGGAGCACTGTTTTCATTGAGATACAATTATTAAACCAACTAATCAGACTTGATTTCCTGATCTGCTAACAGCAAAGTTTTAATAATTCTATTTCTATAAAGAATATAAAAATATCTGAATCAACATGGTGTGTTACAAAAATAAAGGGAGCTAAGTAGTTCTCCAACTGTCTTGTCCACGTGTTCGTGGTTGCATTCAGTCTTTCAATGAATTTGAGAACTATGGTATGAATCCTAAAATGATGGCTTTGTTTAGAAAGAATGTAAAATCAAAGGCTTGTAGCTATTTGTAACATCTGTAGTATGCAATAAATGAATTGCTACAAGATTTTAACCCAGTTTCTTTGAGAATAATAACTCTTCTAATGTTTTAACATTTTGAGGACATAGTAACATACTGTGAGCATCACAATGCAGTGAATCATGCCCAGTCTCCTTTTATTTACATATGTTCATTCTGTGCTTGCTTTGTGTCTTTTTTTTTAAATTTGAGATATTGATTTGCAAAGAATTGTGGTAAATGGATTTGCCTGAACAGAGAGTGGCATAACTGTTTCCCTGCTAAGAATTCACAAACAAATTCTATGAGCAGTAAGATCCTTGTAATGAGAGTGAAGAATAGCAGATTCCGCTTGAAGGATTTTCATCCTTAGAGCATCTCAAATGACAAATTTAAGTGCGTTACAATGTCAAGTTCCAATACATTGTTTGTTTTCTCTCTGCGAAGCCTGTACAGAACTGTTTTAGAATCTTCTCTTTGTACTTGTAGGAAAAAAATTCAGTAAAGTATATTTTTTTAATTAAAAAAGGCAGTTTATTGATTTTTTTTTTTTAAGTAGCCTTGCAATAAAACAAGACATGAGTTTCCTTTTCATTTCCCTTGCATTCACTTTCAAATCATGTAAATAGTGGGAAAACAATATGGGTTGTATTTACCTCACTAAAATATGTGACATATGAAAAGGAGATATCTGACATACTGAGTGCATTAGAACCTAAATACCAGCAAATAACAAATGAAATTTGTGACTACATTTTTTATGTGAGGGTGAAACATTGGCTAAGATGCCAGAAAAGCTCCTTGTTGTAGTGTTATTTGATCTAGCTAATAAAATTTTGGCCTCTTTTCATGTTTGCTGTCTGACTATAGAGCATTCCTTTTCTCCTGCACTGAAGTGCCAGTCTCAATTCTGTATTCAAGCTTTTAAGTGACTTATTTTGAGTATTGTTCTTTTAATACAGAATAATGACTTTATTTGATTTGGGTGACCTGTGTAATTAGGTTAAATATGTTGTCTGGGCAGAATGCTTCTTTGAATTATGGAAAATCTGAAGGATTAGGCATGTGATGAGAATTGTAGATCTGGGCCAGCAAGGGTTTCCCTGCTGAACCAGAGATAAAATGAATCTTGGAATCATAAAATCTTGTGATTCTATATATGATCTACCTGACAAAAAACAACAAACTTTATGTATGTCACACCTTTCATCACATTTGGGTGCATTTCATAGCCAGCTAAGCACTGTTGAAGTGCAGCACTACAATTTGATGACATGAGAGTCAGTTGGCTATGTTAACAGCTATGTTAAGTGCTTAATCATTTTATTTTTAAATACATGAAGGAAAGTTGTTATAATACAACTGCGGATGCTGGAAATCTGAAACAAAAATTACTGGAGAAACTCAGTAGGGCTGGCAGGATCCGTGGAGAGAAAGCAGAGTTAATGTTGTGGGCCCAGTTCTGAAGAAAGGTCACTGGACCCGAAACGTTAACTCGGGTTTCTCTACAAGGATAAATGTTAGTCAGACCATGAAGAGAGTGCTTTTTTTTTTGCCTCAGATAGTGACAAGAAATCTGCTACAGCCACCTGAAATGGCAGATGGGCCTTGGTATTATTGTCGCCTCTGAAAGTACTGTAATCCCTCAGTGCTACATTGAAATACCAGCCAGATTGTGTGGTTCAGTTTTCCATTTTGCAGTGCCTCCATTTCATTGTACACAGTTAAGTCCCTGTGTTCTCGTCTTTTCTTAAACTGTTTTAATTATTGTTTAGAATGACTGAGTGTTTTTAGACTTCCATGTGGATGGTGTCAATGTGTCTTAAATTTCAGCTGGTCAACCCATTATACTAATTTGTCTCTGATCTCCAAAAGTCACGTAGGTCCTCTTCATCCCAATTAGTGTGCTCCTTATTTTTATTTTCTTTTGTAATTTAGATATTACATGCACTAACTCAAAGCTAGATTTTCTTTTGCATGTATTTGTATACTTTTTGGCAAAGAACAATGGTCCTGATGCTGACACCATTACTTAGATAATTTCAAGTTCAAAGAAAATCTTCTAAATACTAGTTTTTCTTCTGTCCTTTGAACTTTCTCCCTCTGCTGTCACTTTCATTTTAGTACAGTACACCTCCATTTTATCAATAAGCTGTGTATATGGTACCACTCTAATGCTCCTGGAAAAGTCATATGTACACATTCCTTTATCAGTTCATCTGTTACTTTGTCAGAAGCTCTTAAATTGTTAGACACAATTGCCTTCTCCTAGTTTATGTTGGTTTGTTATTTATTAATCCATACTTTTCTATGTAAATATTAATTTTATTTCGATCTTGAAGGGAGGCCGAGCCATAGTGGTAATGTCACTGGACCAACAAGCCTGAAGCCAATGTCAAATTCTGGAATATTGGTTTGAATCCCATCACAGGAGATGATGAAATTTGAATTCACTAATATCTGGAGTAGAGTGCTAGCCTAATGGCAATCATGTAACCGTTGTCAGTCTTCATAAAAACCCATCTGGTTGACCAATGACATTTAGGGAAGGAAATCTGCCATCTTTAACTCGTCTGGCCTATGTGTGCCTCCAGACCAATAGCAATGTGGTTGACTCTTAACTCTTCTCTGCAATTAGTGATGGGCAATAAATGCAAGCCTAGACAGTGCCACCCACTCTGTGAGTGAGTTTTTAAGAAAAGCAAAACTTACCTAATGGCCACTGCCAGTGTTAGTTAAGTGGTCACCTGCTTTTTCTTCTCTTTGTAAAGCAAAGTGATGTGATATGAGTAAATCCTCTGGCTTTCAACGCAGTTTCCATAGCCAAGGATGCTGGCTACATCGTGATCAGGGCCTCTGCTGTTTCCTCTTCCAGTTTCTTCAGAATTCTGAGTTGCAGGTGATCAGGCCCATTGCCTTTTCCTTCATGAGTTTCACCAGATGTTTAAAATATTACTTCTTAATCAGTAATTAAACGTATTTAGTTACTCCAGCTTTCCCTCATATACCTAACCATATTCCTACTACCACAGTTTTTAGTCAGACAAAAAATGGGAAAAGTTTTCATTGAAATTCTTCTGCCTTTCCTTCATTCTGGAAATTGGTTATCTTTTTCAAATCCTGTTCCTACTCATTAGCTGTACACATCAACTGTTATACTCCTAACAAATTTATAACAGCTCTAGGCTTCCTAGCATATCATTTCTCTTCTGAACATTTCAATCTATTTTGTTCCTCCTCTGAAACCTCTGCATTACGTTTAACACTAAATGTGTTTAAGTCACATTTTAATTTCCCTTTCCAGCCAAAATACTCAAATTCCCATTACAAGAGCCTTTCATTTACCAAGCATTTTTCATTTTTATTTCACTTCCAGTATGTTCAGTTTTCATTTCTGCCTGCACAATACTTTTCCTAGTACTGATAAAATTACATTTGACATGGTTTCATTTTTTTTTTCTATAGGGTGTATATAATGTTATGAAAAATAGTACAACGAATATGATTGCATTTGGGAAAGGTAAGTGTAGCTTTTCTTTTTGGTTTTGTTTCCCTCTTAGCCTGAGGATACTAACGCCAATTGGAGCAGGCCCACTTTGGTCCTGATTGAGGCTGACTAGTTCAGCATTTATCAATCCTGGGTCTTACTGGCTCATGTGACTCAGCTCCAGCTTGTACACTACTTGTTAACCCATCGACAACGGAAGGGAAATGCATTCCCTTAACAAATGTTGATCACCGGATTCTGTTTGCGTGACATCTGAGCATTAGATTTTTGATTGCTCATTTATATCGCATCAGCTGAAGCACAGTGCGACTAAATGTTGGAAAGGAAAAGTTCTAAAACAATTTAATTTATGAAAAGATAGCTCTGGCTTGGAACTAAAATCTTTGACCACATATGTGACATACTGACCTGGAACAGTATTGGGAAGAATATTAACTACTGTACTTCTTTTAAAATCTTGAAAGCTGAAAATTTTTTTTTATAACCTGAGTAAAAAGCCAAAGTCCTTATTATGAGATACTAATGTTGAAAAGGCAGAGGTGTGATTAAATCAAGATGCAGTGCTCATGTGACAGGCTGGTGTTCCAAAAGCCCAAGATGATGGAAGACTGAGGGAGGGAAAGAATTCCGCAATTTAATATTAAGGAAACGATTACGTTGAGGAGGAGGAAGTTCAGTGAGCATTTTAACATAGAATAAACAGAGGACAAAAGATTGTTTAGAATTACACATCTTATGCCCAGCAAGAGTAAGAATGGAAAGCAGAGAGATAATGTCTGTAACAACAATATATTGCAAAAGAAAGGCCAGCACGATTTTTTAAAAACAAATCAGTTAAAATAATTTTGACTTTTTTTGATAAGGGAACTGAGATAGTTGATGAAGATAATGCTGTTGATGTGGCCTACATGGGCTTTCAGAAGGCATTTGATAAAGTGCCACACAGACTTGTGAGCAGTGTTAGAGCTCATAAAATAAAAGGGGTTGTAGCAACATCAGTATGAACTCGGCTGAGTGATGAGAAGCACATCATAGTGGTGAACAGTTGCATTTCAGATTGGGTGAAAGTTTACAGCAAAGTTCCTCAGGGATCAGCGTTGGAACCCCTGCTCTTTTGGATATATAATGAATGATTTAGATATTGGTGTACAGGGCACAGTTTCAAAATTTCTGAATGATGTGAAACTTAAAAATTGCGCACCTGGAGGTAAACAGTGTGGAGCTTCAGCAGGGTGTAGCCAAGTGTGTGAAATGGGCAGACAGTTAGGAAATAAACTTAAATATGGCGAAGTGTGAAGTGATTAATTTTGGGAGGAAGAACGTGGATAGACAACATTAAAGAAAGGAATACTATTCTGAAGGTGGTACAGGAGCAGGGGAACCTGGTGTATATGTGTGTAGATCATTGAAACTGGTAGGCAGGTTGAAAACAAGGTTAATTATGCATACGGCATCCTGGTCTTTATCAACATAGAGTGCAAAAGCAAAGAAGTTATATTAAACTTGTAAAATAAACACTAGTTCAATGTCAGCTGGTATATTGCACCTGATCCTAAGCTCTGCACTTGAGGTAAGATGTGAAAGCATTAAAGAGAATGTAGAAAAGATTCATGAAAATGGTTTCAGGAGAGGAACTTAAGTTACATAGATTTGAGAAGTTGGAACTATTCCTGGAGAAGAAGAGATTGAGATTTCCATTAAGATATTAAAAATCATAAAGAATTCGAACAGAGTAGTTGAGGAAAAATTGTTCCCATTGGTGAAAGGATCAAGAATGAGAGGGCACAGACTTAAAGTTGTTGGTAAAAGAAGCAATGGTGACATGAGGGAAACCTTTTTCACACAGTGAGTGGTTAGGTTGTCTCTGTGATAAGAAACACAATTAAAGGGCATCAACCAAGACCATTAACTTAGATTCTCTCCGTGGGTACTACTGAGCTGCTAAGTTTTCTAGCCTTTTTTGGTCTTTAATCGAGTTTCCACAAGGTAATATAAAAATATAACTTGTCCCACTCTCCTCGGAGGTGGAATAAGTTCAGCTATCAAAGTTAGGAAGCAAGTAATGTTGAGAAATTTGAGAGGTATGTTAAAATTTTGATAAATTAAATGAGCATGACTTTCATAGCCCACTGAATATTTAAGTTGAAGATCTCCTCATTGTTTATAATGAAGAGATTTATATGCTCATTATGCTTCATGATACATTGTGATTAAAGAAGTGGTTATGTATGTAGAATTTGTGCAGTTGGAAACAAATATGCGATTTAAAGTGGAATTGTCTGCAAAAGTGTAAATTGTGAATGGACAGAGAGATAGAGTGCTGCTTCAGGAGCCCTTGAGATGGTAAAATTAAAAGTGCAGAGTGAAGCATTGTATGCTGTAACATTAGTCCACAATTCTGTCAGTAACTTCCATGATTGACATAGAGATATAACAAGGAAAATATTCATCTTTTTCTTCTTCTAAGATGCCTATATCTTTCTCAAGGATCCACCTGAAGGATTCTTCCCAAGAGTGGGTGTGATAACAGTATCTGGATTGGCTGGATTAATTCTAGCATCAAGAGGTAAGTAGTGAGCATGAAACAGCTTTAACTCCTTGGATATTGATTCACATAAATTCAGCTAACAAGTTTGAAATAGTTGTGGCTGTCCATCTATTTTCACAGAATCAAGGGTGGTTACAAGGGTTTGGGCCCATTCAAATCCATACTGGCTCTCAACTAGAACAGTATAGCTTGTCCCACTCTTCTGTTGTTTCCCTATACCCCTGCAGTCTTTTGTCTGTCCAGGTTCTTACCCTATTCCTTTTTGTAAACCACAATTAAATCTACCTGAACAAGTGTGTCAGGTGATGTACACTGCTTTTTAGAAAATGTCTTTCCTGCTGTTGCCTTTGGTTGTGTTAACAATCATCTTAAGTTTGTATCGACTTCTGGTTCCTGATCCTTCTGCAAATGGACACAACATTTCTCTACTTGTGCTGTTTAGATCCTCGTGATTTTGAAAGCCTGCCTCAAATTTCCTTTCCTCTTTCCTCTTTTTCTTCTGTGAGTAGAACAACCTCAGTTTCTCTAATCTATCCACATAACTGAAGGCCTGCATTCCTGGAACCATTCTCATCAGTTTTTTCTGCAGCCTGTCTAAAGCTTTCATACTCTTCCAAAAGTGCTGTTCTCCAAATTGGGCAAACCAGTCTTGAGGCTGAACTAGAATTTTATAGTGGTTTTATGGTTCACCATTATGTATAGCCAAAGTGGCACAAAAGCAACCCTTTAAGCCCATGCCAGCTGTCTTGTCGGCAATCTCCCATGCATCCATAAACTTGTAGTGCATTTCCTCAAGTGTTGACTCAATTTGCTTTTGAAATCACTGATCACCTCTTTCTCCACCTCATGTGCAGAAAGTTCCAGACCATTTCCACTTGCATAAAAACAAGTTTGTCCCCACATCCCTTGCCCAGAGCTTTAGATCTATGTCCCCTGGTTTCTATGTCACTAGCCAGTGGGAAAACATCAGTTTAAAAAAAAAGTAAAATATTAACTTTTATGATCCGTATAACTTTTAGTTTATAACTTTGACAACTTTGAGGGTAAAAAATGCCACACCCACGGTTGCAAAGCCCATTTAATATTTCTTGCTTTGTATCTAATGCCGCTTTTTATAAAGCCAGGATCCAGTATGCCTTTTTAACCAGTTTCTCAGGCTATTTTGTCACTTACAAAGATTTTGTACTTCTACCTCTGGAGAGCTCACACTCTGGTTAGAATTGTTCTCTTCAAATAATATTGCCATTCATCGTTCTTCCTATTAAAAGATACCACTTTTCACCATTGCATTAAATTTCATTTGACCTTGTCTTTGTGCCTTTGAAGTGTGTCATTACCCTCCTCATAGTTTGCAATACTTCCAAGATTTGTGTCATCTGCAAATTTTGAAATTATGCACTGTACCAAATCTGGTTTATTAATATAAGTCAAGAAAAGCCAGTGGCCTAGTACAAACCACTGGAGCCCTGCTGTCTGGCCTGGATTTTCATCCTTGGGGCAGGTGGTTGGATCTGGGAAAGTTCGTGGCTCGTCCTGTTCACCTTCAGGCAAAATGCCAGGAAAAATGGAATTTTCATTCCTGGGTGGAGAACAGGGTGCTAACGAGAGCTAGGCCAGCTGACCCTGGAGAAGTAAAAGGTTGGAGGTAGACACGGGCAGACAGGTATGTAGGCAGGCTGTTTTTAAAAAAAAAAGGTCTGCCTCAATACCCAAATGAGTCATTTTCCCCAAGTGGCCTAATGTTTACGGCCATAAGAATTGATTGTAATTCTTTATGTTTAACTTGAGATTGAAACCATACAATTTGCACAATCCTCTAACTTGACTAAGAATAATTAGAAAGAACCAGTATGAGTTTTGATGCATTAGTCAATTGCACTTTCTTTCAGAAGAAAGATAACATTATTTAAAAGCTTAATTGCATCAAAATGCAATGACTTGGAAGTTTCTACTGACATCCATGTGAAATGGTGTTTGGATAATGATTGGTAATTATGGTATCAGACATTCTCTGCAGGTGGTACATCACCTAGAAATGAGATTGCATTTTTCTAAACCTCCGTCACAATTCTAGCTTCTCAAAATGCTTTAAGGTCAACAACCAATCTTGAAATGTCGTGACGTTTGAAATGTCAGCAATATAACAACCTACATCATAATTTTTTTCTCCAAGGTTACCTCAAACACCAATGAAATCATTGACCAGGTCATCTACTTTAGTCATATGGGATGAAGGGTGAATATTGATTCGGACTGTGGGGAGGCTCATTGCTCCCCTGATGGTATCATGGGATATCTAAGGGTCTTGGGGTGCAGTGGTAATGTCCTTATCTCTGGCCCAGGAGGCCTGGGCTCGAGACCCACCTGCTCCAGAGGTGTCTATAACATATCTGAACAGGTTGATTCATAATATCTACCACGGGATCTCTTTCCTAAGGAAAGGGAGGGCTAGATTGCACGTCTCATCTGAAAGTCTGAAAATGCACCATCTACTCCATGCTGCGTGAAAGGGTCAACTCACATATTTGCTGAAATTTCTGAAGTGAGACTTGACTTCATAGCATTTTCTTACTCATAATCCTTTACTGATTAAGCCCGGTTCCATCTCACTGGAAGGATTCAGAAATTGAATCTATGTCAGCTGCTCAGTTTCATTTGAGGTATTAATTTCTGATGAACTATGATGTTAGTTTTTCCAATTTGATGACAAAAATTGAATCAGAGGCACCATCAGAAAGGGAATCTGACTGCTTTTTAGCTAGATTTGCTGCAAGATTTGTTTACCAGTCAGTCAAGAATTAATTAAGTTGTCAGAAATGTTTGCATGCTGAAAATTGCTTCATTTCAGCTGTTTTAAAAAAAAAAGCAGTGGCTTTCAAGGTGAAATTATCAAGCAATCAACCCAACACCACTATAGTGCATCAATTAGCATAAAGGCCTGGATTGCAAACCTGATGAGAGCAGCTAGCCTAATTGTTGTAGTGTGCTAATGTTCAAAAAGACCCCTGGAAGTTTATACTGAGAAAAATAAGTCACGTAATTAAGAATGAAGGAGGTAGAGCCCAAAATCAAAGTGAAAATACAGGACAAGGTGTTTTTAACTGAGCGGCTGACTGTGAGAAATGGCTTGCAATGACTTGACGAAACTGTTGCTAAAGTGAGCTAAACAGAATAAGGATATTTATGAGTGACTTGGAAGGCTTATATTAAAGTTGTGACAGAGGTGAGGGAAACCTGAATAGGAGAAACAGAGTGTTTGAAGTTGACATGCCCCCAACCATGACATCACTACAACCAGTACACAAATGCTGGTCTTCTGTGTTCGTACTACTGATGCTTATTTCTTTTTTTAAAGTTGATTCAGTTTGCAGCTTGGCTTAGCTGAAATTTGGCTTCAAGAATCTTGAAGTTATCTTCCTGTGCTGTTTTATTTGCCCTAATTGATTTAAATCTTCTTAGGATCACGGGTTAAGAAGATGGTATATCCTGCGGGACTTGCAAGTGTGGGAATGGCCATTTGTTACCCTCAACAAGCCATTTCAGTGGCAAAGGTAATAATAATGATAAGATAATATTTCCCTCCACCTGAGTGTAATTTTAAGTGTTACTTTTCGGTTAATTTAATGATTGTAGGACTATTCAGTGTTGAAAACATTGAGGATTGGGAAAAGAGTTTTACAAAGTAGTTGGACACGCTTGCCAAGCCACATGTATCTTGAATTTTCCATGTAATAATACTTACGATGAAGATTACTCAGACCTATGTGAACTCTCGACTTTTTCCTTCGGAAAATGAATAATTTTCATTGTACCATATGATAAGCAATGAATCAGTCTGCTCTTCAGATGGAGCTGTAACCCATTGGACAACAAATTATAATTACTAGTAAGTAATATTGGAATAATTTGGACTGAAATAAATTGGGTAAGGTTGAAACTATCTTCAGTTGGAACAAAACTTTTTAAAGAAGAAACAACTTTTGCTCAGTTGACATTGAAAACATTTCTTTATGGTTAAACAACAATTTACATGGATATCAAGAAAAAACATCTTTTGACAGAGCTGTATAAGGAAAGATCAAGAAAGATGCCTGATTGCTTGAACAGAGAGCTTTGTCAAAATACTTCCAAAGAGGACAGGGAAGTAGAGAGAATGGCAAAGATTAGGGTCATCAATACAGCAGTAATTAAAAGTACAATGAGGAAGAGGCCAGAATTTGAGCAGCATCCAGCAGTTGCTGTTTGTACTCGGAATGTTTTATTTGCTCTTTCTTAGACCAGTCGGAGTTTCACTGACGTTTTGTTTTATCAGCATTTTTATTTGGCATGTAACTAAGCATTTTAAAATCCCAAATCATAGTCTGAATTTTTACTCTAATTTTATTAGAAAGCTTGACAGAGGGTGTTTCAATTTGCCAGCCATGTAAGGACAGGATAATGTTTGCAATTAGATTCAGCTTCAAGCAGCAGAATTGTTAACATTATGCTTTTCTTTTAGTTTTCTGGTCAGAAGATGTATGCTGTCAGCCAGGGGAGTTATGAGGCAGTTCGATCTCTCTGGAAAAGAAGTAGTGAAAAGAAAAAGGAAGACTTGGAGGTAATTTAGATTTCTGTGTACAATAGTAATTGAACATAGCATTAAAACAGGATAAAATGTATAAATTGTTTAGATATTAAATATTCACAATTTTCTGACATGACAAGTATAGCTTGCAACTAATTACAGATTTACTATTTTAGTTTGCATTTACGTTTTTTTGTGTGTGCTTTGTGGTGCGTCACTTGACATTCTTATTAAAATTGTTTTGGTATCTTTATTTTAATTACAAGTTTAGCCTGATGTGTGAGAAAACAGGCCTTTTAATATGCAAGTGCAAAGCATAAAGTGACCCTCAATTCAACATTGGCTCTGTTGCCTTGTTGCTATTAAAGTGGGCATTGGATTCATTCCTGAACCTAGCTTCTTTGTACCTGATAGCTCTTTGTTCCTCACTCATTGTTCTCTCTCGTCCCCCCCATTCTTATAAAAGTGATCACTGAGTTCTATTAAGAATCTATCCACCGCCATTTTTGATGAATCAGTTATGCCAGCACTGAACAGGATCTCTTCAGTACTTCCGGTTCCGAACCAGCAGATGCATGAATATGGTCTTTGCTTTCATTCTCTTAACCTATCCTCCCGCATGCACATTTCATTACCTGTGGTGCAGTTTCTCACTGATTTTCCCATTGTATGGGCATCAGCTGAAGAATATTAAGGACAAGATTAAAATATTATCAATCAACATTGTACAGTTTTATAACTAGATTTTCTTCAGCTGTTTCATTGATTGCACAAAGGACATTGAAAGAAGAAGGGGCAATGTATGTGATATGATGGCATGTGGAGTTCAGGAATGAATCTCATTTGCTAGTTAAAACACAGTGGATCCACAGACAAAATATTAATGGATCTAGGAAATGCAGCCTGAGGGTCTGGGTACCTTCACCATTAAAATGTCATGATCAAGTTCATAGAATAATAAAGCCCTAGAAGACTAGAATTCAAGGGGCTGGGAGTCCTGCTTCAGCTATTTAAACTGGTTAAACCATAACTCAAGTACTGGGCACTGTATCGTAAAAAGGATAGAGGGAGTGTGATGTGGATTGTATTAGAATAATACCTGGATCCAAGGGTTGAATTACACGGAGAGATTACACAGACTAGGCTTGTAATCCCCAAAATTTAGAAGGTTAATGGTGATTTGATTGAAGTTCAGATATTTTAGGAGAACAGATAGTTGTAGACGGACAGAAATTAATTTTGCTCCTTGAAGAGTCTAAGATTAAATTGCATTTTCTAAAAATTTTGTGTTTGACATTTCGGTGGTAGTAGAAAATCTGCAAACGACAATTGATATTAAATCATTGGTAATTTTAAAACTGAGATTGATAAGGTTTTGCTAACCAAAAGTGCGAAGAGATATGGAACAAGACAAGCATATGGTGTTGGAAAGCAGATCAGACAAGATTCCATTGAAAGACTGAACAAGTCTACTCCTGTTCCTGTCAGATGTCAAACATGGGGTAATTCAACGTGTTGAACTTGTAGAAAACATAATTTCAGAAGGGATGAGATGTGAGAGTGTTCATCGGTACATTGACTCTTGGTCTTTTGAGTGTAGCAATGTTTATAACATTTTATAAATCCAAAGGATAAGATGACTCTATGACTTGGTATTAATTATTACTTTTTCAACGAGTGCTCATTTACTACTGAAAAGGATGTCAGTAAATGTTACATGCCCGTGGCTGATGTCCTTGTGCCAGCATTGTTTTCCTCCCTACCCCTAGCATTCTTGGAGCTGACTAAGTTGCTTTGGAAGTCTGTGTTAATCGGACTCATTTTTATTTGCAAGCTTGCCCAAGGTGCTAGATAATGTCACTGACAATTAAATCACTGTTTTTCTTCCTTTACCACTAATGACAAATGTGTTTTACGCAATTATCATCAATGCAAAACTGAGATCTTGTCCAAAGTTTTCCAATTGTATCACTATGCACTCCCCTTCATATACTTCCAGGCTTAAATAACTTTCCATTTCTGTGACCTATTGTTTATTTTGCTGAGCAAGTTTGACAAATTTGCATTAATTAATGCTAAATTTTGTAATTATTCAATTGAAATTTAAAATTCTTTCAATCAGGGTGATTAAGTGAGGTTGAGAATGCAATCGTCCAACCCCATTTTTTTAATAGATATAATCAACAACTGACATCTATATACTACTTGTATTGCTTTAGCTCGTTTAATGTAGTAACAGTTTCCAAGAATCTTCTCAAGAGTGTTGTCAAAAAATAACTTTGACAGATGTCAGAAAAGATCACCGAGAGCCCGATCGAAGAGTTTGGTTTCACAAGCATCTTAATGGAAAAGAGAGGCACTGAGAAGTTTAGGGAGAGAATTCCAGAGCTTTGAGCCTTGTTAGTTGAAAGTGGCTGCCAGAATGAGACAACTAAAATCAAGGGCATACATTTGTCAAAAACATGATTATAAACAAAAAGTGAAATATTTTTCCACTCTTGCTAATTAACTGTGATTTTCCTCTAAATGTAGACAAGCCAGGAAAAATTAATGCTCCAAGTTTATTCATTTGAAATTGGCCTGTATATATAAAGAAGATCAAATTGAAGTACTGCCAGAAACTTGAAACAAAGCTTCAAAATGGGGGAATCACACAGTAAACCTGAAAATGTATTGTTACCCGGCTTTTAACTTCACAGGTGTTGAGGGACCTGCCATGTGTTTCCACCCTTTTGTTTTACATTTTTGATTTTTGGTGTTTGCGCTGCATTATTTTTCTTTGTATTTATCCTGCCACCTTGTTCCTTCCTGTAATTTGTGTTTTTAGGCAGCAGGGTAATCTGAGCTCTTCAGTGGTCTAATTGAAGACCTCGAAACATTCCAGAGTTGGTTTTTGTAGCAGTAAATAATTGAACATGAGCCGTTCCTGAATGTTTCTGATGAAACCTAAACTGACAGGAAAGCTTTCCAGCTGCTAATTAGCATTCTACTGCTGTAAACCTGTTTGGGAGCTATGACAACCTGAATAACAATCAAAAATGAAAATTGTTATACTAAGCGGAAGTTCAGTTATATCGTTATGTGCAAGGAGTAATTCCAGTGGACACTCAGAGCATTGGTCGAGAAATCTGGGTGATAATATTATAGCATTGACTTGGCTTGTGCTGTCTGTGAGCACAACTTCCTGAGGGTTTGTGGTGTTGTGGAATTAGCTCATAAAGTAAAGTTGATACAATTGCAATTTTGTTTTTGTGTAATATTTATAGGGTTACCCTCTAAAACATTTGTGAATGGACTAGTACAACTAAACTGGTCAATGGAAAGCATTGCAAGTTGGCAGAAATCAGAGTGTATGGGAAGCGGATGCCAGATTTCTGGTTTACTTACAGTGGATGTTAAAAAGTCCATGAAAATCATCTTTTGATGGAAAAGTATGGCTTTTATTGGCAGTGGGAGTGAGCCAGGGCAGAGACTGTTAAAGTAACTGGAAGTGCCAGTAGTGGACTTTCTATGGAGCAGGATTATTGAAGCTCAACTTTCAGTTGGGAATGGTACTGTCAATAAATTTCTGTGCATGGGTAATCGGGGGGATACAACACAGATTTGACAAGAAACCGAACAAGAAACTTTGTCTTGGGAGGTCAGCCACAAAATTCATTTTATGTTGCGTCCAAGTCAACAAAATTGCCGCATGATTTCTGAAGTGTTAACTGCATCTCGTTGTTTTACTTGTTTGAAATAAACAGTGAGCTAAGTCGACAATTTTATTGTTGATGTGTTAATTCCTCGTTTTAGACCACTAAAGTGAAGGAGGACCAGCCAAAGCAAGAGATACTTGGTGAATTAGAGAACAGCGATTCTCCGCTTGAAGAGGAATTGCCTCAAAAACTACAACAGCCAGAAGTTATCTTTGTGCCAACAGGAGGTACTAACCAGAATTTCTACTTAAAGTTTTTGAGAAGATTTGTAGTTTGGGTTGTGAATGAGGTTGTAGACACGCTGAGCTGGTAGGTTTGGTTGCAAATGTCTCGTCACCCTGCTAGGCTTTACCAGAAGCCTAGCAGGGTAACAAAACTTAACACTTAAAAACAATGTTCAGTCATCGGATCTTGGAGTTGTTGACTATGCATAATACACCACCTAGATGTTCTCCCACAATTAATGTAATTATTAAGTAGTTTAATTAGTTAAGCTATAAATTTAATATAGGACATAAACTTTGTTGCTCCTAGTTTAAATTACTGCCGTGATTTAGTGGAAGAATAAAAACTCTAAATCTTATTAACGGATCCTATTGGCTTGCTGACTTAATGTCTTTGAACATCAGAGAGGGCGCAAGACATAGTGAAGCCTGAGAATTGAACAACTCCTTGTTTTGTAAAATACCAAACAGCATCTTTACTCACTGTGCTGAATCCCCTCACTAGGCTGACTCGCCTCTTAATTACTCTCTAAAAATGATATTGCATTGAGCTGGATCTTGTGTGCCAGCAGAAATTCCAAAGACCAGAGTCAGCCCCTGCTGACGAAGTAACCAGTTCTCATTAGCTATCTAATTTACTACCTGTGTTACCACCACAAGCAGACAGCTTGTTTGCCACTACATTCTGAAATAAATGACCATTAAAAGTTACAGTTAATTAGTAAACTTGACTAGATTTTACAAAGAGATAACACACGTTTCCTCACTTGCCAAGTTCCCTGTTAAATTAGTATTTCACTGAAACAATTTTCCATCAAGCTGGCTTTCATGTTATTATTTTTGCATAAGCAAATACCTTCCATATATAAAATAGTACAAGTTACAAAGACCTGGCTTGCATTATGTCAAGTATATTATGTGCAATTAATTTCTCTACGTATACATAATTTCAATAATAATTGATTAGTTGACCTCTCTCACTATCTCTTCATCTCTAGATTGATCAACTTCTCTTGATCAACTTCTCTTGATCATTTCTGTCTCCCTTGTGTATTCTTTTCACCACTACTCCACAACTATCCTTTGTATCTGGATTGTCATAGGTCATTTGATGCACGATTTTATTTAGATAGAAATATCATACCGTGTAACAGGCAATCTATGGTCCTGCTTCTAAAATACAGCTTGGTGTAAAACTACAGATAAAACTGTACCATCCTGGGGCAATAAACAGCTAAATGTTTAGTAATAGGTAAGTTAAATATCAGATTATTTTTCTATTTCTGTACTTTGTAAAAAAAAAAGAGTACTAATGAAAAGTGTGATCTCTTAATAGATATTTTTCTTAACTCTGAAATATTTGGCTTGTTTTATTAAGCATGATAGAAAATTACTGCTGTGACATCTCTATTTTAAACAGTCACAAATCAATGTTTTGCAATTGTTATGGGGAACGTGTTTCAAAAATTCGGTATGAAATGGCAGCCATCTTTTGTTTTGTTCCTACAACAGAAAAACAAATGACTACACTTGACCCCAAATTGATGGACCATGGTCAGTCAAGTCCTGAAGACGCAGATTTGTACAGCACTCGAAGTTAAGGACACACATGACTGCAGACGCTTACAATATGCTTTCTGGTATTTCAAGGAGTCTTTATTGGAAGTGGAACAAATTTGTATATCCAGAAATGTTGATGACCACCATTTATGCTAAAGTGTGAATTTTTCATTATGCAGTGTGTATTTATTTATATCTGTCAAAATGTGTTGATTATAAACCTGTCTCCTAAAATTTTACATATTCAATTGACACATTTTAATAAAGAAATGAGATTGCTGTTCCTGTTTATACCATATTGTTTAATGGTGTTCGCAACATCTAGAAAATAAATATTGAGTAACTGCAGGAAGGTCATATAGATCTTTATTCCTCAGAATGTATGAGGAGGTCAGTTTCTAGTGAGAGTGATTACTTAGTGATCCAGGAAATGGCAGAGGAGTTGAATAAATACTTTGCATTAAACTTCAAAGTAGAAAATGCTAATAGCATTCCAAAATTGCAAAATATTCAAAGGGCAAAAGAAGAGGAGGAAATAAATACACTATCACCAGAGAAAAAGGTGCTAGGGAAACTAATGGGGCTAAAAGGCCAATGCATTTCTTGGACCTGATGGGATACATTCTAGGGTATTAAAGGAAGTAGCTACAGAGACGGTGGATGCACTGGGAAATCATTGTTGTCGGCAATCACTTGCTATTATGACTGTCCGTCTAGAAAATTCCATGTCTCTGGTCATGCATTCTGTGCGTCCTTGTGTGGTCCTCTAGATGGATGCCTTGTGTAGACATCATTTAACATGGGAATGCTGTTGCACATCAGACACACAGTCCTTGACAGAAGGTAGACCCAGTTTCAGTGGCAAGGAAACCTCGATGACTGAGGACCTTCCAAATGCTGCAGCCTACTTCCACCATTGTAGCCATTGATGTACCGAGTAACTTCAGCTTGGATCACCATTAAGGACTTGTTTCCAATTGCACTTTGTCTGGCTCCTCCCTTCTGACTTTACCATCATGGGTCGCCCTGCAGGTGTTGAGAACTCCTGATGTCATCACTCTTGGGATCAACAAAACACTCCGGTCTCTCCACCACAACAAGGTGGCAGCCCACATAAAGGTACTGGTAGTAATCTTCCAGGAATCCTTAGGTTCTGGAAAAGTCCCGGAAGATTAGAACACTGCCAATGTAACGTATCTATTTACAAAGAAAAGGGGACAAAAACGCAGGTAACTACAGGCCAGTTAGCTTCGGTCTGTTGTTGGGAAAATGTTAGTGTTTCTTATAAAAGATGTAATAGCAAAGCATTTAGAAATATACGTTACAATCATGCGGACTCAGCATAGTTTTATTTAGAGAAAATCATGCCTGATAAATTTACTAGAATTCTTTGAGGAGGTAACAGACAAGATAAAGGAGAAGCAGTGGATGTAATATATTTGGATTTTCAGGTTTTTGATAAGGTACCACACATTAGGGGACTTAATAAGTTTCCAGAGTGTTGGAGATATCACATTAGTATGGATAAAGGATTGGCTAGCTAACAGAATACAGAACAAAAACCAAAAGAATTGTGGATTTTGGAAATCAGAAACAAAAACAGAAATCGTTGCAAAAGCTCAGCAGATCTGGCAGCATCTATGGAGCGAAATCAGAGTTCACGTTTCAGGTCAAGTGAGCCTTCCACAGAAGGAGTTGGTGTGGTGGTGTGGCATGTTCAGGATACCAACCTGTAAGTAGTGATGTGCCACGGGGACCAATAGTTGGGCCACAATTATTTACAATGGTATATAAATGATTTGGAGGTGAGAAGTGAACGTACTTTTGCCAAGTTTGCGGATGACACAAAAGTAGGTGGGATGGCTAGGTATAAAGAGAGTCTGCAGAGGGATATGGACCAAATAAGTGACTGGGCAAAGACTTGGCAGACAGAATATCGTGGGGAAAAATATGTGGTTATGCACTTTGGCAGGAAGAATAGCAGAGCTGAATGTTACTTAAATGAAGAAAAACTGCAGAAAGCTACAGAGCAGGGATTTGGGAGTCCTCATTCATGAATCACAAGAAGTTAGCATTCAAGTTCAGCTGGTAATAGGTAAGGCAAATGGAGTATAGACCTTCATTTCTAAGGGAATAAACAATAAAAGGGAGGTTTTGCCACAACTCTGCAAGGCACTAGTCAGATCACAGGGAAATACTATGAACAATTTTGGTAGCTTTATCTAAGGAAAGATGTACTGGCATTGGTGATAGTCCAGTGAAGATTTACCATGCTGATACCAGATATGGAGAGAACGTCTTACGAAGGGAGATTGACTAGGTTAGGTGAATTAGCCATGGGAAATACGGGGTTACAGAGGTAGGGTAGGGAGTGAATCTGGGTGGGACTTATTGGGCCAAATGGCCTGTTTCCACACTGGAGGGATTCTATGAGTCCCTTTGGAATGCTGAACACAGAGGGGATAACGCATTTTGTGTGATGGTAGCATCACACTGGATGCAATGGAAATGGCAGAAAATGATCGACTGAATACGGACACCGAAATCATTTGTTCTTGAAGCAATGAGAGTTGAAGTGGGGTGGTTCCAGTCCAGGACCCTATCAACAACATTGGGTGGGCTGGAGTCCTTGAGTGCAAAAAACAGAAAACATTTCAGGAATACTGGTTTGAAAGATTGCATCATTAGAATAAATGGGTCAGAGATGAAATGTAAAAACTGAACTGGGATGCTGTACAGATCTGGTTAGTGGCTACCTTGAATTAAATGCAAAGGCTGAGCCATGTGCATTAATAAACATGCACCATGTGTTTGTTTCAGAGCTAAATCTCATTCAGACTTAGTACGGCCCTTCCTATCCTTGCCCAAAGGTTCTTCATTGTTACTAATGTGATTTTCCAGAGAAAAACAACTCCTTTTTGTATCAGGGTGAGAGACAGCTTGATAGTCAGACCACAGATGGAATACTGTGAACAATTTTAGTTGTTTTATCTTAGGACCGATATACTAGCTTTGATGGCGGTCCAGAGAAGATTCACCGTGCTGATACCAGATATGGAGAGAATGAGAGGCAATTATATTGAAACATAGAAGATTCTTCAGGGACTTGACTGATATGCAAACGTTGTTTCCCCTTTAGGGAAGAGTCTAGAACCAGAGGGCATGATTTCAGAATAAGGGATTGGCTGTTGAAGGCAAATCAGGAGGAATTTCTTCTGAGGGTACTGAATCTGGAATTCTTTACAACAGAGGGCCTGTGAGACTTGGTTGTTTAGTATATTCAATGATGAGATACGGATTTTTAATTGATTGGGGCATCAAGGTTCATAGGGAAAAGGCAGGAAAGTGGAGTTGAAGATCATCAAATCAGTTAAGGCCTCACTGAATGGCAGAGTACACTCAGTGGACCAAATGGCCCACTTCTACTCATATATTTTATGGTCTTACTCCTTCTCTTCCAACTATCTCGAACATTAATCAGAGAGCAAGGAGCTACCTTTTCAGGCATGATGTTGAGTTTTCATCTTTTTCTGTCTCTGAATTGAAGATGTGATGTCAGGAATGGGGGCAATTCTCTTTAGGAAGTTTGACCCAAACAGCATGTATAGTGCCCCTCAAGAGCGTAATGATTGGATTGTGCATGCAGACTTCACACCTTGGGGAGCAACAAAATGTGCATTTTATTGAAACCCCTTTTTTTACACACAGCCGTACATTTTTCCAGTTCTCACATTGTATGCCATTCCCTTTCCAGTTACTGGTTGAGTCTGCCGCCTCCCTTTCGGTTAAGCACAGAAAACTGTAAGGCATTTTGTTCGTGTTACTGCACAGGAGACCATTTGGCCACTGTGCCTCTGCTGGCTTTTATTCCGTTAGACCTGGTTTTGCTTACTCTTCTTGGGATTTGAGTGTTTTGGAAGGTATTAATTAAAATATTCCTGAACTCCAAATCTTTTAATTAAATATTAATGTTGCATATAACCAAATATCCTTATGACTCTTATTCACACTTAATGTGATAAGTGTATGTCAAGACTTCCTTTGCATCTAGTTAAAAAGATGGATTTTGCTGTGAACAAATATATGTTGTTATGTGGTGGAAAGTAACATTCAAAAATCAAGCCCAACGTAAAAGGGGAGATTCAGTCCTTAAAGGAATAGTTCAATGTGTCTTCCAGATCTTGCCTCATGTCCTCAAGCTCGGGGGAACGGCCTTAATTTCTTCAGATGTTAATTAACTAAAAAAATTAAGGATGACGTCAGGCAAAGCAATCTTTAAGCTCTAAAAACATTAAGAAGTGAAGTAGCTTTGCCTTAGAGAGAGAAATGCATAGAAATACCGTTGTTGTCCTCTCCATCATCCGTCATTGTGGATGAGGCAGACTTATCAGGTAATATTTCTATACTGTAGTGATATGACAGATTTCCTAACTTGTGATATCTTAAGGACTAGTTCAATGTGAAGTCTCTGAAACCAGAGGTTGTACAGCCTGAGACAAGAAATGGGAACAGTAGAGATGCAAATTGCATTTGGATATCTCTATTTCATTTCGGAGTATTGGACAATTCAGCAGGAAGCTTTCATCAGATTCTTTCAACAGTAACAATTGTATATGGCGATTTAGAGAAACTAAACATAACCTGTCCCCCCTTGAGAAAATGAACCACCAATTCCAATGGACCCTGATCATAGATGGAATTGAGGGGTTTGAAAATTTGAGAGAATCAAGTGAGCAAAAGTAGGCCTTTCAAATATTGCTGACAGCAAATCATCTTGATTCTTAGAATTCCCTGCAGTGTGGAAACAGGCCCTTCGGCCCAACAAGTCCACACCAATCGTCAGAGCATTCGCCCCACACCCATCCCCTAATCTACACATCCCTGAACACTACGGGCAATTTTTAGCATAGCCAATCTGCCTAGCCTGCACATCTTTGGACAGTGGGAGGAAACCCACACAGACACAGGGAGAATGTGCAAAATCCACACAGTCGCCCGAGGGTGGAATCAAACCCAGGTCCCTAGGACTATGAGGCAGCAGTGCTAACCACTGTGCCACCCCATCTTCTTGTCATTAAGATTTGATATGTGGATAGGCAGTATTGTTTTTCTGGTTAATAGATCTCATTATTTCTTACGATTAATTTGGAGACTGGTATTACAATTTTGATGTTTGTGCCAAAGCTGTTTTTCTGGCCTGGAACTTTTAACTCTCACCCTTGTGTAGTGTTTAAATAGGCATGTCCTAAAAGCAAACTGTCAATGGAGGTTTCTGTGGATTGGCAGCTGGT